ACTCTCTCAGAAGGCCAAACTGGAACAAGAGAGCAAGTACTTCTTTACTGCTTAAAAACTTAAAATGAGAGGTTTAGGAACCTGTTGCTTTTTAGTTGGTCCAAAATTTTTGCCTCTAAAGAAGATGGAAATGGTTGATATTGTTCTGTCAACAAAGAAAGAGCTGTTATCTATGAAGTAGATACTGAAGAATCATTTACTTAACAAAAGGAGGGGTTTTAGTAAAAAAACAAACAAACAAAAACTAGTGTTTTTTCCTTTTGTTAAACAATTGCCAATTTTCTGACTTCCTGAAATTTTAAAATTCTATATCTAGTGGTAACTTACCAAAACATTTTTTGCATGTACTTCCAGAACTTGACTTAGATTATGTTCTAAATTTTTATTTGTGAATTTAAGTTATGTTTCTGACTGCTCCCAAAAGTCTGTAATGTATCATACAACTGTAATCAAGCTGAACTACAGAGTAAATGATAAGGTTAGTATATAACAGGAAAGAGAACATCAGGATCATACTTACTTTCCGTTTATTCCTCATGGGCACACACCCCAACACCAGTCCACAATAGTACTTGTGGCATGTATTGTATATTATTCCTATGGCTTGGCAGTCCTGCAGTGTCACCATTGCCCCAGCTCTGGGTGAAGGTACAAAGGAAGAGTGGGCACACTGTTACAGAGGGAGGACAGGCACAGGGAAGGGACTTAGGCTGGCTTGTGATACCTAGAGCTTGAAATAGCAGCACTTTTTTGGCTCCTTAGAGTATGAACATATTTTTTGGTAAGATTATAGCAATTGATGTTTGCATATATGGGTTATTTATAAGTAGAATACTGCCGTAGGAAAAAACAACCAAAATGATACAATAAGCATAGGCTACTGAAGTAGTTTACAGCTTATGTTCTGAATGATTTCCGTGTGTGTGTGTGTGTGTGTATGTATATTTTTTAAGATTTTATTTGAGTGTGCATGTGAGCTCATGAGTGGGGACGGGAGAGGGAGAAGTAGACGTAGACTGAGCAGGGAGCCCAACAGCGCTCAATCCCAGGACCCTGAGATGATGACTTGATCCTAAGGCAGATTCCTAACCAACTGAGCCACCCAGGCGCCCCACCTGTATTCTTTTAAAGATTATTTATTGGAGAGAGAGAGAGCAAGCACACACATGGTGGTGGGAGGAACAGAGGACAAGGGAGACAAGCAGACTCCCCATGGAGCAGAGAGCCCAACTTGGGGCTCAGTCCCAAGACCCTGAGATCAGGATCTGAGCCGAAATCAAGAGTTCAACAGTGCTTAACCAACTGAGCCACCCAAGCGCCCTACCTGTATATTTAAACCATAAGTGACTAAAATTAAACATAGGGAATTAGATGATTTGGCTAGTTAAGAAGGAAAGAATCAGAATTTTCTATTTTTCCTAAAAAACAAAAAAGCATATTGGGAAGTATTTATATGAGAAGGGAAGTAACTCCATAGAAGCAGCAGGGGGCAAGATTTTGGAATGCAAATTGGCACACTGCATACTTTTCTCATCTGTTCTTCTGGAATGCTTTTTCTTCTCAAATGATTTTCTGTAATTATTCTGATTTTGTCGCTTCTACCCTTAATCCTATTTTTGATGCTATAAATGCTGTGATTGGGAAGTCAGGAAATTGTCTGAAGCTTTTTTTCCTTTTTTTAAAACTTGAATGTTTATACAGAATGATTCTCGTATCTTAAAACAAGTATGATATTTACCAATTTATTCTTCCTTTTTTCCTTGCTAGAAAGTACACAGATGATAAGTGAGCGTTAATGTTCTTATATAAGTTCAGCTGGCATGAATTTAAGCATCTTGAATCAATAGACATCGGTAAAATTACCCTTTAGCTACGTAGCTCTGACTGTAGAGGATTAAGGTTTTCTGCTAGGAATTATGCGTTTGATTCAAACAAATAAGATCTTAAGCTGCATGAATGGCAGAGGTAACAACTGTTACTTCATAGAGGCTTAATATTTCTTATAGTACCTAATTTATGTTGGAGTTTCTCACTAAAGAGAATATAAAGCTTTCCACCAAGTATACCTATTAGTAGATTTGCAGCACTCAGGTAATTAAGTGGGTAAATTTGGGATCCAACAAGATCTGTTTACTTTGTGGTTTTGCATATTATGCTCCTGGCATTCTTGGTTACATGTACCCAAGTTGTACAGAAATTTAAGTGTGCCAAACACAGTCTGTGGTTCATACTGACCACTCATTATTTGTTTACTGTTTCCCTTTTTAAAAACCTTTTAGAGGGTACCTGGGTGCCTCAGTGTCTGCCTCGGGCTGAGGTCATGATCCCGGGGTCCTGGGATCAATTCCCACATCCGGTTCCCAACAGAAGTTGCTTCTCCCTCTACCTAGGTCTCTGCTTCTCTCTCTCTGTCTCTCATGAATGAATAAATATTAGAGGATCCTTTTAGAATAATATATTAAATGAATTACCAAAGGATCCTTAGGTGGAAATATTGTGATTATTAAAAATAAATTTACTAGAATTTACAATCAAAGCTTCCCAATTATATCTGTTCTGCAATGTGATTTGAGAAGTGTCACTTCATATGATACAGGTATATGACCTGCTGTAGTTCAAGTTCTTTATCTAATCTCAACATTTAAAACTATTACTCTGAAGTAATTTGGTCCACAACTCTGCCTTTCTCATTTCTTGGTCACTAAACAATTTTGCAAGAAATATATAGCCCCATTCGGTTTCAGTTTTTTCATTTGTAAAATGGAAAAATTGGATCTGAGTGATGTCTTTAGGTCTTTCAGTTCAATGTAGATTACTACTTTTTGTTACTTACTTCCCTCTTGGTATGGGATCTTGATATGGGATCTTGGTATGGGAAGGAGGACTAAAAGGCCTGAGGTATATGTAAATACAATCCAACAGGAGTCTTTCCCACATATTTCTATAATCCACTAACTCTCATTTTGAGAAGAACTTATTCTTCCCTTTCTGCTTGAGTTTTTCTTTTAATACTGTATACTCAACCTCAGGAAAAGAGCCCATGAATGAATGGTTGGTCTTCATTCCACTTTTAGTTCTTGTTTGCTATTGTGAACAGCATTCCTCAGGAAGCTCTATCAACGGTAATAACACAAGTGACTTTACCTGTTTTTGTGTATTATCTTCAGGCATTTGTGGTCTAAAGCATTTTTAAGTTCTGGCAAATTTTAGGTGAATTTATGAATAGCATAAAATATGTGTTCTTCTGAAATTATAGAACCACAGTGGTTTGAAATCTGTGTCCACTGTTGTCTAATGTTAACAGAAAAATTGATAAATTGGTATTTTTTAACTTAAATCGATATGAAGTAGTATCAGTTTTCTCCTCTCCCTAAAAAAATAGTATATTTAATTAAGTTAACAACTCAGTTATTTTTAATTAAAGCTTATGGTTTGTTTAGATATAATACAGTTGATCTTTATAAAAATAGACGAGTTTGTTTCTATAAATACATATTTATGTATGTGTTGTGAACATATGCATGATTATGTTTTAAAACAGATATGACCACATTCTGAAGTGGGAACTCTTCCAGCTGGCTGACCTGGATACATACCAGGGAATGCTAAAGTTGCTTTTCATGAAAGAACTGGAACAGATTGTTAAAATGTATGAAGCCTACAGACAGGCTCTTCTCACAGAGTTGGAAAACCGCAAGCAGAGACAGCAGTGGTATGCCCAGCAACATGGCAAGAATTTTTAAAAAATAAAATTTAGGTTTTTAAGGGCTTTAAAATATTTTCACAGAAAACTGCAAACAAGAACTTTGGTTAATAAAGGCAGCTTTTTGGAAATTATAAAATTCTAATTTTACATATATTTTGTTATTAAAAATATTTTATTGAGCAAAAAAAAAATGATTATCATTTTAAGAGCCAACACAGCAAACACTTCTAAATGCTAATATAGAAACTGCTTTGAATATTCTGTGGAGATAAATGCAGCAAGAAATGTCTCATTATAACCAGATATTAAATAGGAAATGGTCACTTGGTAAGCAATACCCTTTTTAAAAAAGAGAGAACCTATGCAGTATTTAAAAAAAAGATGTGTACTGCTTTAATGTGGAATATTGTCTGGAATCAGATGGTTTAAATGTTACCATTGTGTAGTTCCAAACACAAAATGGGATTTGGGACCTTAATTGTGATAAATTTATACATATAATGTATAGAGTTCCTTCCCAAAACGTAAAAACCCCTTTTAAACATGTTGAGAACATATTTTTGGGTATGAAAAGGTAAGGGGCCTGTAATCTTTCAGGAATAAATTTAGGCATAAAGCTGTAGCCTGTATGGAAAAGATGTGTACAGCACTCAAAGTTGCTATTATTTCCTAACTTTTGACTAGGGCTCTTACAGCATTTAGTAGCATGGCTCTAATGAGACAGTGGAGGGTTCCTGACAGCATATAGACACTGCCATCCCAACAGATTGGGTTGAGCTGCCAAAAATGACAATCAGGGATTCATTAAGATATCTTGGTCATTAAACTGATTTTACATATTTTTTATCTTTTAAGAATTTGTCACAATTTTAAAACCCACCATTTCCTTCCCAGTGTTTTCCTTTTAATAGTTAAGATATTGTTCATAATTAGTGCAGTACATTTGATTATAGAAAAATTTATGGCACTTTTAGCCTTTATATAAGTCTCTAGGATTCTGTGAATTTCAACATTAATTGAAGTAGCTATTCAGTTATATTTACATGTGTTGTAATTATGTAAATATATTTTTAGTTTAGGTAATCTTCCAAAATTACAAAGCACTCCCAGTAAGTCACCAGTGAGTTTGAATCGATAAAATGTTAAAAATGTTAAATGTTTGATTTTATATAACAAGCTTATTATTAAATATATTTTTGTGGAAACTAAACGTGTCATGTTTGAATCCATGTTTTTACATACTGCCAAAAATATTTGATTTTTCCATTCAGAAAGTCCAAAAGCAAAGGAAGCAGTATAATTAAAGAGATACTGAAAAAATGAAAATAACCAGTAGAATTTCATCAGTTGGAAAAGTTATTTTTCAGAGCATGTAATCAAACTTGTCTAGGATGTAAGCTTATATTTATGAACTCTCACATAGTTTCCTATCTTACTCTTTTCTGTTACTCATTATTTTATATTACTGTTTAATTTAAACATGGGTTATCTCTAAGGAAGTTAGAAATTACTATTTTAGAGCTCCCAGATTATGGAATCACTGGTTTAAAAGAACTCAGGTACCTAAAAAGGGATTAGCATACGTTTTTTAAAGTGGAAACAGATTTGTAATGGTGTTAACACTGAAGAAAATGCATTTTTAATTTTAAAAAGAGAGATAAACCTCTATGATTCTATATCAATACCTCCCAAACATTTCTAAATTCAGTAAGCATTTGTTTTTAATCTTAGGAACCAGAGTAAACTTTAATAATAGTTCACATGTTAAAAGAATAGACCTATGAAGAATACATTTCTTTGTGTACCAAATGAAAAAATATACAATGCAGTGAAACTCAAATACATATACAAAGTGATTTTTTTGTGCATTTTTGATCAAGTTTATATTCTATATTAAATCATAATATAAAAGAAGCAGTAGTTTTTGATAAAGCAACTGAAAAACTCTCCTAAATTTCTTTAAAAATAAAAGCTCATGGTATATATAGGGTGATATAGGTTGAATCAAGCCTGTTGAGTTATTATGCTATGCTTAAATGGATGACTATGTGAAATAATTTAAAAATTCTCCTGTAGAAATTAAATGAGCATATCCAAACATAGAGTAATATTACTACATGGTTTAATTATAACCCAGTAGTAGAATTTAGTAAATTCAAGCAGAACACATGTACTGTCATCATAGACACTTTAAATTATAACAGCATATTCGAAGACCAAATTAAGAAACTGTACATGTTAACAAAATGATATAACCATGCATAAATACATCTGCTTATTAAACACTGAAGTAAAAGAACTAAACCTTTTTTGAAGTTTTCAGAGGATCTTGGTATTTTACTCTGTCCTGATAGAAGCACTTTGAATGTTTGCATGGAGACATAAAACTGAATATTTAACTGACAACTGGTCATGCACCTGTACTTCTAAAAATCTGGATTAAATTTTCTTCTTTTCTGATTGTTCAGTAGATTCTGACTTTGGCGCAGGAAAAGCTTGATGATACAGATGTCTATGGGTTGCTGCTGCACTGTAAAGCTTGTATAAAGCCTAGAAATACAAGAATCAAGATGATAAACACAGCTGTAAAATTTTTCCTTTTTAGTGTAATTAGTTTATGGTACTATATAATTAGTATGCTAAATGTGGAATCTTTATATATCATCAGTCTATTTAAGATATAAATTAATAACTAATAATTTTAGAACTCAAAAGTATTTTCACTTCTCCAGTATGTGTATGTTTTTGCTTTTGCAGATTGATCTCTGTGGTAAATGGTTTCTTGCAGACTGCATTTTCTTTTACTTTGCATAGCTTTTGGAGCAGAGCTTCCTAAACACTGTGCCCCAGGGATGACTTGAGAACTCATATCGCCAATACTACCAGTTCTAGAGCAATTACAGGAGCTCATAACTTCCGACTGCCAGTAGCTACTTCATTATACATGGCTAGACCACTCGCTATCCAGGCTTCTTTAAAGGTTTTTCAGAATGGGACCATTTTTTTTTTCTCCATTATTGCCTGAGATGGTCATGCAAACAAATACATACATTGCCCCTCCCCCTTGATACACTGGGATCCTTCATTTAAACATATTCTCTTCCTTGTTTCCATTACTTGATTCATACCTTACAAAACGTTTTTCAGAAGCATTGCCTCAGAAAAGCCTTTTCTCATTAAAGCTGTCCTTTTTGTCCTTTTCCCAGTCAGTGAATGTCTAACATTCATTCCCTCTTTGGACTCTCACATACTGAACACTCCATTAAAACCAACTTTTCTGGGTGATGGGCACTAAGGGGAGAACCTGATGGGATGAGCACTAGGTGTTATATGTTGGTAAATTGAATTTGAATTTTAAAAAGAGAAAAAATAAAATCAACTTTTTTGATGTAATTCTGAGTCTGTAGAGTCTGAATATTTTTAAAAGCTTAATATCCTTTAAATAATAACCAATGCCCAGGAAATTAATTTTTATCTTTTTAAAGTCTTGATGGCTGTTTTTTTAAGTCTAAATAATACCATCATCAGTTCTATGAATACATATTGGTGTAACATGTACTGTCCTAGATCTATCATAATTCTAACATTCAATTTAATTCCTGTTTTTTTAATGGATTTGTTTTATTGAGTTTTATATAAAATACTTCTCTATTGACTTGTAAGTATTAAATGTATCATTAATATTGATTAGAGGACATACTCCAGTTATATGGAACAGCAGAAACCGAGGAAAGAATTATGTACTATCTCAGAGTTGTTCGAGATCAGTTTTGCTTCCTGAAGATAATGACCAGAATAACTCTACAGAGATCATTTTTCTTAGGTAACGAATGATTGCTTCCTGCAGGTTCAGATTCTTTCCTCAGAGTTTTGCCCATGTGTAGTAGGAGAAATGAACACTAATTACAGGTCAGTCTGAGGTATGTTAAAGTTATACTTTATCCTTGCCTGGAACCTGCTTAAAAGTGGTAAAGGTAACTCACTCAAAAGCCCAAGTTTTAAAAACATCTAAGGGTTGTAGCTCCATTTAAATACTGTCTACTAGTTGAGTTTCCTCAAGATTCATAACTGTATTTTTGTTTCACTATGCAGTAGAACAAAATACACAATGTTGGAGCTTAAGAATTTTGAAATTTCCTACATATTTAGGAAATAAAACATAAAACAGGATATTCTTGATAATCAACTCGTATGTTTCATATACAGATCAAATCACATTCAGATGTCTAGAATAAATAGAATATTTTAATCCCATGTTAAAAATTCACAGTTAAAATTGTGAAACTTTGAAGAAATGGGAGCAGCTGTCACCAAAGATTTTTTTTTAATTTAAATCCAATTAACATATAGTGTATTCTTCATTTCAGAGGTAGAGTTCAGTGATTCATCAGTTGCATGTAATACCCAGTGCTCATTATATCAAAGATTTTTTTAATCCATTAATGGCTAGTTGGCTTAAACAGTAAGAATATCATAATCTTTATATAGCTCTCAAGTTAAAAAAATTTAACTTACCTCATTTGTACTTCCCTGTGGCAAAGGCAGTTTAAAGGGGGAAAAAGGCATATATCTTGCTTCATTAATAGCATTATGATAATTCAACTTTGTTTACAGTTTTTCTGAGCATTTAACAATAAATATTACAGATATTTTTAGTTCAGATTAAGATTACATATTCTGAACCTTTTGAAGAACTCAATTCTATATTTCTCATAGGGTTCAGCATCATATTCAAGGAGAGCTTTGATATTTACCTCAAATAGCCCTCTTCAGTCTTCTAAAGTTGGGGGAGCTATTTTAGACAGTGGCTCAGAGGATCCATTCTTTACCCAGAGTGCTAAGATTAGTTTAAATTCTATTATAAAGAATATATGTAAGTATAAATGCTGGGAAAATTATAAGTATTACTTGCTACCGGCAGAATATAAATGTTCAAAAGTCTTAACACTAAAATTTTATGAAACCTCTCAATTTTAGCTTCACTAAATGCCCCTAAATTTTCATGAGGTAACTGAAGACACTTCCAGAATGAGAGAGTGAATTCATTATTGTTCTAGGTGTGTTTATAATTGTCTTCCCTATCCATAATCAATTATTTGAACAGTGGACCACAGTGACCCTGACTAGGCCATGGTTAATTGAAGCATAAAGGACAACTGACATAAGCAGCTGGTCCAGAGGTTGACCTGAACTCATGCTACAGCCTGGTACAAATGCCTACTTCGGATAGAAACAATCTGAAGTAATCAGATCTTGCTTTTAAGGAGTTTATACTAAAAGACACAGTGATAACAACAACTTATGATAGTGGTTCACATATACCTCTAGCAAAGCAAAATGCTAATCAAATGATAGGTTTAAGTATTAAGTAATCTTAGCACATAAACAAGTCACAATCAGCTCAATAAAAACTCAGCTGTGCTTTCTCACACTTTTAACAACTTTAACTTTTAGGATAAAAAAAAAAGTGAAAGACCAAACTACCTAATCCACGGATATTTGAAAATACTGAAATGTTAACTGGAAAACATTTGTGTAAGACTTAATATATTGTTTATAGTTAGTTGTTTGTATCTAGCAATCTTGACAGATTTTAAAGCTCTTGAAGTCTGGGCCCAAGTCAGGTTCACCTGTTTAGTTCCAACATCTAACATTGTGCCTGGTACACAGATGGCATTCAATTGTTGCAATTAGTTGAAGAGTATTAAAAGTATTCCTACCTGGTCCCACAAGGCTGCAGCCACCTGGTCTATTACAGCTCCCAGCTCTCGGTATTCTCCAGAGTACCGGATGTATGCCCAGGTGCAGAGGGTGATAAGAGTCAGTCCCATTATCATATTGCATAGGCTAGCTATGATGTCCAAACCAATGAATCCAGTCACACCAGCAATCACATAAGTGATAAAGATGACAACAAACAGTGTGGCTGGGGTACGAGCTGCATGGAAAATATTTTTGCTATCATTGTGCTTGATATACTGGATGTAAAGTTCATCTATTTCACTCTCCAACTGTTGCAGGTAACGACGGCTAAATTCCTCCCCACCCATTTTCTTCACCCCTCGGAATAGCTTCACAGATTCCTCCTTGAGCTCCAAATGTTTGGTCTGTAGGTCATTAGGTGCCAGAAATGGTTTGTCACCACCACAAATCTGTTATCAGATAGAGAAGTGCTGTTTATGCAATGCACAGTAAAATTAGCAACTGTATCAAAATCTTCGACTTCGCTAGTTGAATTTGTTAGAACACTATAATCAGGAGTCTACATAAATGTTTTGTCAGCCTATATCTTTACATACTCCATATAAGGCATAACTGAAAGTGGGACCAGTACTTAATAGATGACTTATATAAATACATTCTTAATTTTTATTTTCTTTTTGACCTGGAAAAGAATATCCAAGACTTAGAAATCCAAGTTCCTTAAGATGAAAAGGCATGATTCAAAGTGAACTGCAAATTGAGTTCATTCACAGAATGAACCCAAATTCAAATAAACTACTTACATTCAAGATCCTCTGGGAAATTTATTCTACCTATACTGAAGTATTTTTGGCCAGTGAGGTTCAACTTAATAGCAATGCTATAAAACTAATGTAGGGGGGATCCCTGGGTGGCTCAGTGGTTTAGCGTCTGCCTTTGGCTCAGGGTGTGATCCTGGAGTCCTGGGATCGAGTCCCACATTGGACTACCTGCATGGAGCCTGCTTCTCCCTCTGCCTGTGTGTCTGCTTCTCTCTGTGTCTGTCTTGAATAAATAAATAAAACCTTTAAAAAAAATGTAAAATGAAAAACATGTTTGTTGTCAGTTTCACTGATTTTGTTTGAATGGAGCCCTTTCCATATTTTCTTCAGGAAACTAAATGGATGTATATATTCAGTGTTCTTGGACCACATTTTCAGTTTTTTCAAAAATTACAAGGGAAATCTGTTACCCATACCTATCCCTTTGGTTGAGATTTAACTCTATTAAGCATTCTTTCATTCTAGTTACCCTTTAGTTATGTTGTGAATACCAGTCCATATACTGTATTTCCCTTGACTCCTAAGACTCCCATCAATTTTGGATGTAATTTATATAAGAAATATTTTCAGAGGGAAAACTTGTATTTATTAGTAGATATATAATTATTAGATGCATCCTAATTCAGAATGTTAAAAAGAGGAATGAAATGCAGTATGTAGAAACACTGGCTCTTAAAGTTTAATTTCTTTTTTTTCCTAATGGGTTTTGTTTATTTTTGAGAGAGAGCACGATGAGATAAAGGGCCAGAGGGAGAGGGAGAGAGAGAATCTTAAGCAGGCTCCATGTTTGGTGTGGAGCCCAATGCAGGGCTCAATCTCACAACACTAAGTTCGTGACCTGAGCCAAGATCAAGAATCAGACACTTAACCAACAGAGCCACCCAGGCACCTTAATGGGTTTTTATAGTTAAGATAGAAATACTGGGATTGTTGCATGAAGGGAGGTGTAGTGAAGAGAGGGTAGCACATGTTATTTTAATTACTAGAGCTTATAAACTGTGGGAAGATGTGGCAAAAAATAAAAGTATCTCTAATATAGAGAAAACACATTTAAAATGTGTATTAAATTGTGCATAGTGTTACTTTCCTGAAAAATATTTTAGGAATACAATAAATAGAAATGTGAGATACAGAGGCTGAGAAAGAATAAGTCAATGCCACTTTGCATACGTGTAGACAGTGTAACTTGGAAGTAAAAAGAATGAGCTCATGGAAGAAATACTGATTTTATTTAAAACATAATTTAAAATATTATTTAGTTCTTACCTCTTCCATCTTTTTGTTGTATGTATCCTTGGCAGTTGCCACGGCCGCTAAATTGTTAGCTTCTGCTGTGGCCTTTGGACAAAGTACAAAATATGATGTAAAATGGAATTCATATTTATTAAACCTTCACAGGCAATTCTTATTTCTGAATATTGTGAAAGAAACATACAAGAACACAAGGTCATGAAATAAATTGAAAGGATTAAAGTATTTCCACTGTTTTTAAAAATTTGTAAAATTAAAATTTCAAAATACATAAAACACAGTTTAACTCAGTAAGCCATAGTTATAAAAATGAATTTTCATTTGGGAGATTTTTTCCTCTTAAAAAATATCTTTAAGCCTTTCATCAAATGTAGGGGGAAAATCTACAAACCCAAACACATGGGAAATTATAGTTCATTTTGTATGAACTGACATACATAAAAACATGTCTTAGGTTTAAGGACTGATACTGATAGAACAATGGATCACTGGTAACAAAAGAACTATTAACTGAAAGTTTTTAGATAGGTAAGGAAAAAGCTAGTTTTTCCTTTCTTAAATGTTTATTTGTAGAGACCATTTGTTTTAAAGCCTGGACCTCCTTTTCTGCTTGTTAATGTGTGAACCTAAACCACGGTATGAGTCTGTTTTCTAAACCAATTTTGTACAGAGAGAATTATGAAAGCTTTGGTATACAGTGTTTGTATGTCCGCACAAGTGATGCTCCTCTATGTGTATATGAAAATGTTTAGCTTAAGACACAAACAGCAGTTAACAGAAAAATAATCTTCCAATAAATCATTCCACTATTTTTGTTTGCTAATTTCTGATGGCCAGATTGGAGCATATCTTTAGCTTATTATAAATATAAAGCTAAGGAAACCTTAGCTTTAGTGACAAGCAGGTTTTAAAATGTCATGCTTCCTGATTAATACCTGTAACATAAAAAAAATACCTGTAACATGGATTTGGGATGTGGTAATTCTTCACCTTGATAGATCTTTATATAAGCCTTAAAAAAAAAAAAGATTCATGTTCAAGAAATTCCATTTAATATTTTTGTAATTCTGTTAAATTGTATTCTAAGGTCTAAGGTCTTGACAGGCTTAGGAACTATTATCTTTCACATGTTAATTCTCCTTTTCTTAGTTCTGCTCTTTTTCCTGAAGTGCCCCTTTCATGTAACTCCACTTGCTAACCCTACCCTTTTTAAAGGCTTACTTAATAAACTCACTCTTCTAAAACTTTCTCACATCCCTCTGCTAGGAGTAACCTTTTTTTTTTTCAGTTACTCACAGGCATTTGTACCTGTTGATGTCATAAGTGTTATGGAAGAAATTTCTGGAAGGGTCCTTAATCTGCTAAATTCTAAGCTCCTCCATAGTGTTAGGCACAGTGAGAATTCAATTTTCTTTTAAGATTTCAAATTTTAATAGATAAATAACATCATTTATTGCTATGAGTGATGAAGATAAATACACAGGAGGTATGTTGACAGTATTTTAAATGACAAAAAATGTGAATTTAAAAAATTGGTATTTTAATCCTTGGAGCATCCATCCACAAATTAGATTGGTAATTGAAATTCCCCACTGTATATGTGGATTGGTTAAAAAACAAAAGTGTAGTATTCGGTGCTACTTAAGGTAAGCAATAAATGCAAATAATGGTACTTCAAATTGGCCCCTGGTGCTGAGAGACGAAATGCGTTAAGAATTTTCTCCAATAGGAAGGCAAAGATAACCCCTTTGGGAACATCTTCAGAATGAAGGTAAAATTCTGTAAGGCTAATGACTGAGGCCTACTACATGTTATGGACCTTGAGCAACACATTCTCCCCCAGCAAAAAAATAGACTTTACCAGCTCAGATATATTCATACTTCAAAATATATTGCTCTCAAGATAAAGTTAACTCTAAGAGTTTTCTTTAAAATTTTAATTTCAGAAAGCAAGCTCCTCTTGGGAGTCTCGTGATTTTTTTTTAATCTTTATAAATTCCTCATAACTTTGTCCCCATATTACAGAGTCTATAATTTGATTGTTTGTTTCAAGTAGGAACTGCATTCCAAAACAATGCTCTAGAAATGAGAGTGATACCTTGAAGTACTCCACCAGACCTCGGCAGGTGATTTTGTTCCCATTGATCTCTTTAATATCTAGGCTCTCAGGACTAAGTAGCCAAGGAATGAGTATTTTCAAGTTTTTGATGAATTCATCATCTATTTCTACAAGTAAAAGCACATCATTATTTTAAAAATCTAATCCAGTCCTCCATGCCATACAATAAAACATCCTTTGATCCTCCATTTCTTCCCCAGTGATAAAGCCATCACTTATTTTCCCATCATCTAAACAACTCCTGAAGATCACTTTTCTGGAATAAATGATCGATCCTCCTTACCTACACTACTGTTAGTCTTTATTTCAATTACATATTAACTTATCCTCCAACCATAAAATAGCTTTCTTGATGTTAAACAAATATTTTACTCCCTATTCACATAACCATTTAAGTATTCTGATGACTTAAGTTTGTTGGTGGTTTTATAAATGGGGAAAAGGCCAGATACTTACTGGCTTATAAGATGTCTTCCCTCCAGAAAATCTATGCCAAAATTGCTGTTTTTCATGTACCCACCTTATGAAAGCATTTAGAACTGGGTAAGGTGTACTAAGTAGAACTAAAGTTCAGAAGGATGGTGATGGTGATACCACCTCTGGTGGTGAAACTCACCAATACAAAATAACGTGGCAAGAGGAGGCCATGAAGACAAATCAGAGGATGTCTATCTGAGTTGTTTACCTACCATGTTTAGGACAACTGATGACATTCCTGTGTTACAGCATTAGGTTTAAGCTTAACCTTACATATTTAGTGAAGTAACACAGAAGACACATCTTCAGAGAAGTCTTTTGAACACTGATAATTTCTGAAATCATTATTTTAAAATATACAGAAAAATACACCTACATTAAAAGCTAGATATGTCCAGAAATCTAATATCTAAGTAAATGTAGTAATTGCCTATAATTTTTAAAAATCTGAATTTCAGCAGAGTCACTGAGTTTTCAAGCTTTAGGACTGATGATTTCTGAGGTCTTAAGGATAATGATTCAAATAGTGATTGTGTTCGCATTTTCCTTGCTATTACAATGCCACTATACACTGAAATGGCAATTTACATAAGAATTCATGTTTCTCTTCTCTTGCTTGCTGCTTTTATGTGATGTATGAGCATAATGTTGGAAACCCTTCAGACTTTTTTTTACTTCATGTTTTGTACACCTTTGAAATTTTAGTGACCATATTTTATGAGTACTTATATAGGAGTTTATTCAAATGTATTTCGCTGTTTGCATTGTACCAATTTTTATTGATAATTTTGTATTATATTTTGATTTATTCAGATGCATTTATTCAAATTTATTATTGTGGTTTGCTTTCTAGTTAGCAATATTCACTAATAATACTGGTGTTTGTATTATGTTACCACATTCCATGTTAATGTTTGCTGTGCATCAGTATTCACTGATACTGATGGGTTTCTTTTTTGCTATACAACTTTGTGATTTTTAGCATTTGTAAAATATTACTATATATCTAGAATGTATTAATTCTTCTTGAATTTTTGTATAAAACAAAAACCTTGTTAGAACATTACTTTAAGATCACTTCCAACACATGTATTTAAATTCCACCCCCTCATTCCCTTATAAAATGGGAGTGGAATAAGATAATATCTATCTGTGTATCTATTGCCCCAGCAAGTGTAATTATCATTAAAGTAACCAGCATAGAACCATATATTTGGGTTAAAAGTGTGTCCTGAAGATGGCATGAGCCACAATCTTTGTTCTGAGACCAATACCAGTATTCCAGTTTTGGATTCAGCAAGTACAAATAAAGATTCATTACATGCACAAGTGGTGAGCTCTTGCTAACGATATTAGTTCAACACAATAAATATGACCCAGAACATCTACGGACCAGATCAGTTTACAGTAATTACTAATTAGCTCTGGCCTACTGCAAGTATTCAAATAAATATGTGTGGGCAGATTATTATTTGGAATGATGTTCTATTTCCATCATTTCTTCAATAATTTTTGCCACAAGAGTAAAACTTTGCCAGGAATTCAGGGGCTGGGCCAGAGTGGTTATCTGTCACAATAACTGGGGATGTGATAACATACTTTTTGGCGGCAGCAGAGGTGTGGGGGGGATACTGTTGTGACTGAATGTAACCGCCCCCACCCCCACCCCTGCCGCAGCCAATGCAGGGGAGGGGGGGGTGACACTCTTCCCTGTCTCTTCCTTCCCCTTCCTCCCCCCCAGCTAAAGAGACTTTGAATTTAGGGGGCCCTTGAGCCTGAAGAGGCCTTAACCCTGTGAGGAAGTGTAGGGGGAGCCCTCTCCCACCCCCATCCCCTTCTGAGAGTGTCAATGTTTACAAGCCCCTGAGCCCCCGGGGGCCCAGGGACTCTACCCCCATTGCTGTCCTTTCCCACCCGTCTTCCTGGGCCCCAGCTGCTCTCCCACCCTTCCTGGGTTGGGGTGGGTACAGGGGCTGTTCTGTACTCCTTGTCTGCCTTGGACCCACAATCTCCCCTACTCCCACCCTATGTGACTCCCCTCTCTTCTACCTGTCCCTGTAAATATTCCCCTTCCCTCAATAAAACTTGGTGTGTGTGCTCCCCCCCCCCCCAAAAAAAAGAGCTCTGCAGGGCAGATGCACTGGTGAAGCACTGCTGTGTAAATCAACCAAGGAAGATTTTTTTTTCAGGATTACCTGACTGACAATGCATTAGAAACACCTTTTTAAAATGAATTCTCTTGCAATGGTGTTTGGCTATGCTTCCAGAAGTCTAACTGAAGCTGCTAAGGATGTATCGCCACAGTTTATGATGTGATTACCTGGTCATTCTACGTATGGTACTGTAACACAGAGCAACCTCCAAAAGAAAGATAACTCCTTGTTAATTAAAAGATTAGATTCACTAAGTTAAGAGAGGTATTCAGTGGGGACTTAGAAAGAACTGGTTGACTGTAGCACAAATGAACCTAATCCTTTTGATTTCCTATGTGGGAAGTTGTTAAATTACTAACAGTTAATTTGAATCATAGTATTGTAAGTTTCATATAACATGGGAAATGGTAAGACAATTTCAATGTGAAGGACCATGAACAAATATAGTAATTATAATAGTTATGATTGATAGTGAGCTAGAAAGTTATTTCTATACATTTGTGAAAGTGTATGTGAGAATTATGATCGAACAATTTTTGCACAATTTTTTATTCAGAGACATTTCTTTCCTAGAGGAAGAAAGTTACTAAGATGCCGACCCTCTGGAAAATGGCATAGCCAATGGACAAGACACCATGGGTAGAAACCACATCAACTTACAAGATTTAGAATGGGATGGAAAAACAATGTGGATAGCTGACTTTCAAAACTGCCTAAGGAGAAACTGAGGCTCATTAGAACATTCTGGCACACATTTGAACACAGAAATTCAGCAGAAGTCCTACAAAGCCTCATCAAAACGCAACTTAGATGGGCACCTGAAGCTGCTTTTCATTTCTTTTTCTCTCAGGCTAGCTACTTTGGTAAACTCATAATTTGGGGGTACCTGTAAAACAACTGTGTGGGTGAATATATGTTTAGACATTTGAATAAAAGTTGATGGAAAACAAATCTATTAAAAAATGGGGGTTCTAGATCTGTGTGATTTGTCTTAAACTCTCTCCTTGAGCTCTTTCATTGTAAAATATATCAGTTACTTTAAGAACTGTACCTGTATAGTACAAGAATGGAACAAGCCAGAGTACTTTTTTGTTTCAATAAAGGATTGTTGAAAGCCTACCCGCCCCCTGCCTGTTTACGACTCCCCAACTCCAGAGAAGAAAGAGGGGCCTGTGGGAGCCCTGTCTTTATGAAATTTATTCAAAACACAATGAAGGCATTAGGTAACTGCACCGTATCAAGAGGTCTGTGGGCTCATTGGTAGGCTGGAATTCATAAGTGATAGTGAAGTGACAGGATCCTGCAACTCATACATTACTATGTGCCTACTGCTATCTGTTCTGTTATATAAAGATAATTCAAAATGTGTATAGAAATAACGCTGATGATTGAGAAATTTGGGATTCTATTTAGGATACTGTCATAGTTAAATATAAGGTATCTAAGTATAAATGTCATGCATGGATAGAGGGGTAAAAAATAGGTTTGCTTTTCAAACCTGCCAATTCCATAAAAGTGATACATGTTATGTTGTCCCTTTTTAAGAGTAATTTTAAAGCCCTTTGAGAACAGTTGTGCTGAAAGCTTGTCATATCTCTGTCTCACCAACCCTGGCACAATGCAGAAAGGCCATGGTAAATTAAGCAAATGTCTGAAATCAGTGGTATGTGTACTCAGTGCTAGGCTTATAAGTTAAGTCAGAAATGTCTTTGTACTACTTTGTTATTCATTACAAAGCAAATATCTAAAGACCTGGTGATTATTTATAAGGAAATACTCACTTCTTTTTTTTCAGACTCCTACCTCTACCCTATCCCACCACTTTTTCTAACAAGTTGAGTTGCTTTGGAATCTTAAAATGTTAGTAATGCCTCTGCTTGACAAGCCAACTATATACTATTAGTATTCACTATTTCTTTTTTTTTTTTTTTATTTACTTATGATAGTCACAGAGAGAGAGAGAGGAGAGAGAGAGGCAGAGACACAGGCAGAGGGAGAAGCAGGCTCCATGCACTGGGAGCCCGATGTGGGATTTGATCCCGGGTCTCCAGGATCGCGCCCCGAGCCAAAGGCAGGCGCCAAACCGCTGCGCCACCCAGGGATCCCAGTATTCACTATTTCAAAAACACTCTAATGCTTTTGGATTTTTCAGAAACTGGTCTTCATCCAGAAGAGGATTTCATTTTTAATGAAGCTTTTAATAATTTAGAATTGTTATTCTATAACAATAATTATAGAACTTATAACATTGGAATAATATAGCTATTTTTCTCCTCTAATGTAAAGAAGGAAAATTTAACAGGAAGACATTAAAGAACACTTCTCAATGTACAAAGTTGAGCAGGAATGTGTGAAAAGGGGGGAGTCACTGCCTCCCAGGTGAACACAGGATTTTGCCTATTTTCTCTGTGGATGTATTCAGTACCCATACAATCCTACAGTTCACCAAGGAGGTGTTCTAGCACCAGCCCAGGATTCCCAGTTCTCTTGATAATTTTTAATCATCAGCCTCACTAAGTGGATAACCTAGATTAGCAGCTGTAAGCCTGGCGGATAAAAATGAAAATTCTATAACCAGACTAAGTAATGGAAACATATTCATTAAAAGACAAACCTTTTAGTTTTCCATCAAAGTTTGGATTGGTAGCTACTTTTAAGCCAGGGTGAGGTAGCAGAAAACAGGAAATTTTGGTGAAACAGGAATGAATGTGTTTTCGAACATTCTGTAGTTCTTCATGCTGGTTCCCTGAGACCTGCAGCAAATCATTCTGAAGTTTAAACCACATTCATCATAAATTGAATTCCAGAAGAATTCTGTTATATCTCATATTTGCTATATCTGTCTGGTCCTACAATGATAAAAATGACATGGCAGGGCTGATACTGAAGAAAAAATAGTCTTGAGTGGATGGCCTTATCTAAATATGGCATACATATAGCATTATTATTAGAATTAACAAATGTTTACTCTTAGGCTAACTTAGGTGGGCCTTCCCATTTTTTAGTATAAGTTAGTGGGGTTTTATTCTCGCTAGTTCTTACAAATGCCAATTTTAATTCAAAGTACTTAGGAAACATGAATAGATCCTAAGATATTCCTACCTTCTTTTCAGGAGAGACTCAAGATAGCCTCTCCTCACCTGGTAGGTATACATTTAAATTCTAGAAAGGCATCTGAATAGTTGGGTATTTATAAGCTAAACTGTCCTGATTTTTTAAATGTATTTGACAGGTACCCTAAAAGTAATCATAAACTTAAAAAGAAATCTTGATTATCAAGAAAGCTTATTTAATCTTGATTTAAAAATTTTTCTCAGTAGTTATTTGTTGTGTTATCTGTCCAATGTAAACAATCCATTCAATACTGAACTATCCTGACATTGAAAATGGACAATCCTCTAATTTCACTTTTTGTGCACTATTAGCAAAATGTTCTAAGATTGACTTTGGGGATTTCAAAATTAGATATTTCTGTTAAATTGACTTTTAAACTTCTAAAACATGAGTCCAGATATTTGTACTGTCAGCCTTGTACTGATTTAATTATCCAAAATAAAAGATTTATCTTTAGGAATAAATCATTGCTTTATAGATATCTATGTATCATAATTACTGATAATATTTAAAACTATAACTTTGAAAGTATTGTATTAAATATCAATCTTTGTTCATAGAGACACTAGAAGGATCAAATAAGATTGTATCTAATAAGTACCCATTCTACAAGTCATTCAACAAAATTCTAGATTACTATTGGTGAAATTTCATGCAAGTAAATAACAAACCTTGAGGCGTTTTTCCAAGAATTTGGAGCCACCTTCAGCTCCGTATGAAAATTCGTATGGGAAACTCCAATCCCGAACAAGAAATATCAGACTCTACGAAACAGGAAGAAGAAAGAACTGATAAGGGGACTTTAAATGGCCTCCCTGGGCTTTACACTGAAACCAATTAAATGCTATTACTATCATTTGAATAGTTTTCTATACCACACTATGGAATTACAAAACCAAACATAAAACCTTGAAAATTTCTGAGCAATCTCTTCCCTATGAGATCATCTGCCCTGTTCTCACTAAGTGTAAACAGAAAGCTGCACCAAAACTGATTGTAGTTACATAGAGCTATTCAGCCAGTTTGAGGGCACCTCTGTCTCTCATCTCTTGGTGGTACACATTTATCTTGACAATTTGGGGACAGCTTTTTATGAAGGTTCAAAGTTTTATTTCAGGACAGTTTTATCATCTCTTTAAATATTTTTCCTCTATTACATTTGTCCCATTCGCTTCTTCAGAGTGTCTCAGTATACATATATACACATATGGATAGGAATCCAGGTTTTATGGGGCCTAAAGCTTATATAATCTGTTGAAGTGAGGGCTCAATAGGAAAAAATATAACATTGGGCTTGAAAGTGAATATTTAATGGCCAAATATTTTAGCAAATGGATAGACCATGGTTTATTTTGCCATCATCCTAGATGTTTTCCAGTTTTTTTCTATTATTCTAAGAAATGCATTGATAAGCATCATTGAAGCTGAATATTTGTTCACATCCAGAAGGATTTTTTAGGGACTGCAGTTTCTAAAATTAGAACAATCATTAGAATCATTGGGAGGCTTTTAAAAGTATAGAATTCTTAAGTCCCACTCCAGACCTCTTGAAACCAAAGTAATAGCAGCTTTCCTTTTAGTGCCTATTATATGTCAACCATAATACCAGGGATTATATACATGATATTTCACGCATTCCTGCAATTGCCAAGAGATAGGTTATAATTTATAACCCTTTTCAGAAGAGATAATATAAAAATCCCCACCATCTGACAATAGGTGACTTGGCCAAAGGCATTGAGATGGAACAGCTAGCGTTTAAACCTGGGCTACTTCAAAACCCCTGCTGCACTGCCTCAACTGGAAGTGTAAAACATGTGCTGTAGTTTACAACCTGAAGTTTGACAAAAGCATGCTTTTAAAAAAAGATTTATTTACTTATTTTAGATAGAGTGACAGAGAACACGAGTGGGAGGGAGCAGAGGAAGAGAAGGAGAGATTCTCAAGCAGACTGTGCTGAGGATGCCAGACGTGGGCTCAATCTCACAACCTTGAGATCAGGACCTGAGCTGAAACCAATATTGAATGCTTAACAGATTGCGCCACCCACATGCCTCTAAAAGCATGCTTTTATAAGATTAAGTGATACTTCAAATTTTAGTTTCTTAAAAAATGTAGGAAATTGAGAAAAAAAATCACTAATTTTTATGAAGTTTGCTATCTTTAAACGATCTTTCTAAAAGCTTATACCTTCTGAGTTTCTAACAGAATCTTTAGTCTTAAAATGTTTTGATATATCTTTAAAGATTTTATTTATTTGAGAGAGAGTGCGCACAAGGCAGAGGGAGAGAAGTGGATTCAGCGCTGAGTGGGGAGCCTGATGCGGAGCTTGATCCCAGGACCCTGAAAACATGAGGTGAAGTCAGACGCCCAACCTACGAACCAGCCAGGCGCCCCTGTTAATATGTCTCTTAATTCTCATTTGATCTCTGGGTTTGTCCTCCATTTCTTCTTTTCCCTTACAGTTTATCTATTAAAGTATCTAAGACTTTGACCTGTAAAGTTTCCCATAACTCGGATCTTGCTACTTGCATATTCACAGGCAATTCAACATGCTCTTTCTTCTGTCCTCTGGATTTTCTGCAAATTGGCAGCTGGGTACAGAGCCTGGATCTCAGGTCGTATTTCTTTGGTGGACTGCTCTTCTATCAGGAGGCACAGAGTTTATGATTATCTTACTTTTGGTGAAATTATGTCATCTCTGTTAATCTGAAGTTCATTCTTCAGTAGCTTTCTCATTAAGGGCTCAGGAAAACAATATTCTTTGCATTCTTACATGTTGATAAGTTTGTGACCTGTTATAACAGTTGTCACTTTCTATTGGAAAGTCAGGTTTTTTTTTTTTTAAAGATTTTAAATTTATTTATTCATGAGAGATGCAGAGAAGGAAGCAGAGACACAGGCAGAGGGAGAAGCAGGCTCCATGCACCGGGAGCCAGACGTGGGATTCGATCCCGGGTCTCCAGGTTCGTGCCCTGGGCCAAAGGCAGGCGCCAAACCGCTGCGCCACCCAGGGATCCCTCTTTCTATTTGAAAGTCAGTTTTGCTGGATATAAAATCTTTGGCTCACATCTTCTCTCCTAAAGACACTTCTTGGTTTGCATTATGGATTTTTTTCCCCATACTTTTGTGGGGAAAGAAGAGATTCTTGTGGAGAGGAGAGTTTAAAAATACCACTGGGGCACCTGGCTGGCTTAGTTGATCCAGCATGTGACTCTTGATCTGGGGGGGATTGTGAGTTGGAGCCCCACTTTGGTTATAAACATTGCTTAAAAATAAAATCTTTAAAAAATAAAATACCCCATTTGCTATCTTAAACAGTTCACTATATTTAATAGATGCCCATTTTCATCAGAATAAAATAATAATTTGTATTTAGAACATTTCTACCTAAAATATGTATTTTGAAAACAGACGTTAGCTAGGAAGCAATTTTTGCAAACAGAAGTTCATGAACCAGGACAAATGAAACCAAGTATGTGGATTTGGCTATATTTTGCATTTTTCTTGGGAAACTTTAGTTTCATTTTTGGTCTTTTTCACTGGGCATCTTCCTAATTCAATATAATGAGGACCATGTGTAGAACAGGATCAAATACAAAGTCTTACTTTTTGAAATCAGTGACCCATATTCTATCTATCCATCTGTCTACAGTATCAACTTCCCAAGTTCCCATCCAATGGTGTGCTGGTAAACTGGCTCTCCAAGAACAACAACAAAATGCCTTGATTTTTTTTAACACTTGACCATTTCTGTGGTTTAAATATGCCCACTATGGCTCATTTCAAGCTACTAGCAGTTTAATTACTGGCTTATATAATTCCTGAATATTTACTAATTAGTTTTCATGAATTGGTATAATAAGGTAGCTATAGCATACTCACTAGTCCCATCCCCTCCCAAGATAATTTGTATGCTTTATATTTATCATGTATGGAATTCTATGAATCTTAGTTCTTATGTCAAAGTCATCAGTTTTTCCACAATACTGAATCTTGATTTGTCCTTACATACAAGTAGAGATAAAAATAAAAAATATAGATTATCCTAATTTGCTCAGATAAAAATATTTGAGGTCATAAATACTTTTTTAATGAATTAATTCCAGTCCAGCAAATGGGGCAAATGATGGGACCTATGATATGCATATCCCACTAATGATCACATATATATTTTTAATCATCAAAAACATAACCTTTGTTAACTTTCCTTTGGAGGGTATTTCCTTCAGGAATTATTCAGGAGTGTTACAGCACTAGTATAAATGGTAGAGAAAAACAGAAAAAAATCCAAATGCTCAACAACAGGAAAATGGCTAAATTATGGCATATTAATAGCTACTAATATTATAAATATGTGGAATATATAAATACATGTGTTGATTATGTCAGAATCTTGTCAGTTTGTGAGTCACTGTGCTGAGTCCATAACACAGGAGCAATGACTATGAGATTATTGCTCGTACAGTACTGTCCTGACCTCTGCTTGCTTGAGGAACCAAGCTGCTCCTCAAAGCACATTTGACTAACCTGTTAAAGGCTTGTATATATCCAAGCTGGACCCTCCTCCTGGAAAAATGCCTGCTTTCTATTTGTACTGTACTATAACCCTAACTGTTACACTTATAAGAAAAAATACCTTTTTCAAAAAAATTCAGAATAACAGTGGTCATTATGGTGATCTTTGTACATACCAAAATAAATAACTAATACAGTTAAGTGGAACTTCATAAAAATTAGAAGATGAAATGTCAAACACTCATTAGTTAGCATCTTTAATTAGTAAACTGAGACCTCAAAACAAAATGCAGAATCTAAGACAGCATCTCTCAACTTGACTCTTACCTTCTGAAACCTATCCTCCTTGTATCTGTTTTTTTTTTTTTATCTCTGTTTTATCTTCACCAGTCACTCACTGTACCCCTTCATTCCTTCTGCTCTTTCCCTTGACCTCCTAAACGATTTTCAAGGGACTTTTTTTTGCAGAAAGGGACTGGCTGCGTTGCCCCAAACAACTTCAATTTGCTAGACCAGAAGGCTGTTCTCTAGAAGCTGAATTTAAACCCTGGTCTAGAGTTGAGTTTTAAGGAATTTCTTTAACCTAAGAAGACAGAAATCTGCAGAATTCAGGATTTTGTTAGATACTTACTGACCTGAACCATCAGTTTTGTTCCAACTAGTTCACTTAATTGTTAGTCCCTCAGGTGGGAAAAAAGTACTTAAAAGCAGGAGGGTAGAAAAAGACCAGGAGAACATTTAAAAAACCCCAGCTCTTCAAAATAATAGTAGTAGTAGTAGAAAGAATAATAAATTAAAACATTTTAATAGCCTTTAGAGGGCAAAAAAAAAATAGACAAAACACCACATAAGACCTTTCATTAGACTTTTTTTTTTTTTTACAGATTAATTGGTCAAAGATTCAAAGTTGTAAACAATATAAAGATCAATCATAGGAAATATTATAAATAGACTTCAGGAAATTTTCAAATAATCTTTTGGGTATCTAAATAGCTGAAGTAAAGGGAACCCTGTCTTCTCTTTTTCAAATGGGTTCACACATAAAATACAGGAATCAGAAGAAAAAAAAATTAAATGTCGAGGTGTTGAGTGGTTTTTATTGATTTTAGGGGGGAATCTATTTCCTGGATCTGAATGCCTGTTTCCCTTCCCAGATTAGGAAAGTTTTCAGCTATGATTTGTTCAAATACATATTCTGGACCTCTGTCCCTTTCGGTGCCCTTGGGAACCCCAATTAAACGTAGATTTTTCCTTTTGAGGCTGTCACTTATTTCCCTTAACCTATCCTCATGATCTTTTCATTGTTTTTCTCTTTTTTCCTCAGTTTCCCTCTTTCCCATCAACTTGTCTTCTATGTCACTCATTCATTCTTCTACCTCGTTAACTCTCGTCGTTAGGACCTCTAGTTTGGATTGCATCTCATTTAATTGATTTTTTAATTTCTACCTGATTAGATATAAATTCTACAGTCATGAAGTCTCTTGAGTCCTTTATGCTTTTTTCTAGAGCCACCAGTAGCTTTGTAATTGTAGTTCTGAATTGGCTTTCTGACATTGAATTGTAATCCAAATTTTGTAACTCTGTGGGAGAGAGGACTGTTTCTGATTCTTTCTTTTGAGGTGAGTTTTTCCTTCTAGTCATTTTGCCCAGTGCAGAGTGGCGAAAAACCAGTTGTACTTGATAGAAGCGTGAACTCTTCTCACTGTGACATTCCAGCTGTTCTCTCTTTAAATCTTAGGCCCAGAAGAAAAAAACTTGAATGAGAAATCATCAATTTAAAAATTTCCAATATGTAGCTGACTTTTCATAGGGGCTGGAATAGTCAGCAAGGTAGAAATCAAAACAAATTTGTGGCCCTCGAGATAAAAACAAGACAAAATAGCCTCTATTCTTTAAGAATCAGGAACCCATCAATAGGGACACCTACAGATATAGCAAGCAAAAAATCCACTTGAAGAACCAATGTCCCTTTTTGGCTAAAAATACCTACAGGCTGTACAACTCAAAAAGAAAGTGAAGAATCTCTCTGAGCAAAAATCACCAAGGACATAAGCAGAAAAACTGGAGAAGAATTTGTAAGAGTCTAGATTAATACCTTCCAAAGCACATAAATCTTTCTTTTTTACATATAGGCCAGAGCAGATATTAAATTACAACATGCATACATCAACGACCCATTGCCTTTCATGGCCTATTCCCTGATCCAGTAGCCAAGGTTTATCTTCTTGCTTCAGAGCAGGTGCAGTCTTGTCTAACTACTTGAAGCATCTTTAGGATCCCCTTTAAATCTGGTATACCATATACGATCACTATTGCTAACTGAAAACATGTAACTTTTTCCTGTTAGTCTTAACTAATGAAATGCTATTTAATTTTTTTCGTATTGCCACCCAACAACTGATACTTTTTTAATTAAGTAGGTTCCACGCCCAGCGTGGAGCCTAATGCAGGTCTTGAGCTCATGCCTTGAGCTCGAGACCTGAGCTGAGATCCAGAGTCAGATGCTTAACCAATGGAGCCACCTCAGGCACCCTTAACAACTAATACTTTTCAATTCAGAAACTCTACTACCTTTACCTACTAAAAGAGAACTTCGTGATTGTGTTTCTCCAGTTCAAGAAGGGGCCATGCCCAGTACAAAAATTTTGGACACTCTCACCCAACTTATGACTTAATACTGTTTATGGATCTTATCTTAAAAACATAAAGAGGTAATACTAGGATGGATATGTAATAGCTAAACCAGACTTTGAATCCAGGTCTTTCAATTTTGAGCCCAATGGATTTACTTCTATGCAAACTATATACAATCCCAAATATGTATATATCACTATGATTAGCAAACATTAAACATCTGCTGTGCGAACTTAGGTGTACTAGATTACAAAAAAGTAAATTACAAAGCTCTTGCTCTCAAGGTATTTATAATTTAGTGAGACAGGATATGCACATTCAAATCTAAGACTACACGATATAGCTCAGTAAGTGCCGAGGAATAGAGAGGAGAGGAGAAGCACTGAAGGCTGGTGGATGTGCCAGGGTGTAGAGCCTGTGGCCTCCCTAGGTTGATGAGCAGCTCTGTACCTTAAAAGAGATTACATGACCAGGAACAAGTTTCTCAACTCCTTTATGCCAGTGTTTCCTTATCAGTTAAAAAAGAGAAAGAGCAAAGAAGCAACAACATTATTTTTATATAACTATAGTGACTGGCATTGAATAATGTAAGAAACATTCTTAGCACAGTACCTGGCACAAATAAATGCTCAATAAATTATTGTTATACATGTTTTCTAAACATTTCATGGACCTAAACGTGGGCATAGGGAGAATCCTGTTGCATACCAATGACTTGATTCTACCTAGCCAGATGCATACTTATTCCGATTTGTACAGCTTTCAGATCACCTAAATCACTCTCTGGACGGAACACAGGATAAAGTAGCTTGCTTAGACAGCTGTTCTTTTCCTCAGCCCCATCATCTTATCTCTTCCTTTAATGTATAGCCCAAGCAGGGAAACAGGAGCCTTTCATTTCCTCAGGGAAGTCATGTATTTTTCTCCGGTAGGACTTGGCAATTACAGTCACCATGGATATTTGACCAAGAATATTTTGCCTTAAAGTGGCTGAAATCACTATCAAAGAATTTATTCTATAGATGAATGTTTTGAAATTGTAGGAAGGGTCCTTAAATATAATTAAGTAAACTAATTCCCAATTTTCCATATATAGGCCCAATCTGAATGAGAAATTGTGAGAAACAGGAGTTGTATCCTAATACAACAATATGCTATTATGTGCCTCCTCTAATGTTATTTCCCACCAATTTTCAGTTTAACCACAACACTGGCATGGACTGAGCTGTTCACTAGTAATTAAATCTCCACCAAAAGAGACATGAAAAGTTGGGTTTTATTTTATCTTACAAAGAGGATTCAAATCGTTTTTTCCCCAGCTTTACTGAAATATAATTGACCTACAATGTTGTGTATGTTTAAGATCTATAATATGATAATGTGAATATATATTGTGAAATGATTACCACAATAAGGTTAGTTAACATATTCATCACCTCACATACTTATCATTTGTGTGTGTGTGTGTGTGGTGAGTCAAATCTATTTCTAAGGCCTAGGGTTTGGAAGGCCTTTACGCATATGAAAATGGTTAATAAAAATGCTATGGGAGAAAACTGGGATGAATTAACTAAACCTGAAGGTGAAGTACTTAACACTAAGGAGGTCAAAGAGCAGAGAATACATGTAAGTAGACCTAAAATATGTGCTGAGGAATGAAATAAAGCTTCTAAGAGAAGAGAATTAAAGTTTGTGTGCAGTAAGGTTTTTTAAGGTTTAACCCTTTTTTAAAATTTTTATTTATTTATGATAGTCACAGAGAGAGAGAGAGAGAGAGAGAGGCAGAGACACAGGCAGAGGGAGAAGCAGGCTCCATGCACCAGGAGCCCGACGTGGGATTCGATCCCGGGTCTCCAGGATCGCGCCCTGGGCCAAAGGCAGGCGCCAAACCGCTGCACCACCCAGGGATCCCGGTTTAACCCTTCTTAATTTTCCTATTACAGGTAAACCTCAAGTCACTAACCACTTGTACATACAAATGTACAGAGAAACACCATCCAATTTCTCTGCTACCAGGAATTCCCATACCAAAGATGCCCTCTGCCAGGGTATGCCCCATGGCTAATCCAGTCCTCAAATGATCTGTCTTGCTATGGGTTCTACTTTCTCAGTGTGCTAAATAGTGGAGAGCTGGCTCTTATAGGCTCACAAGGACCAGTTGTGGAAGTCTGAAGAATTTTACGAGTCAGTTGACATCATGTTGACAGCTTGAAATCAGCTGTGGTAAAGGTATTTGTACCTCAGAAATCCACAAATGCTTTTTTTTTTTTCCCCCACAAATGCTTTCAATCAGAACCACCTCCTCCTTCCTTGCCAGCCAGTTGTAAATATTTATCAGCACACCACTGGCTAAACTTTACACTTTAATACAGCTTTTTTTTTCTAAGATTTTATTTATTTATTCACGAGAGACATAAAGAGAGAGAGAGGCAGAGATATAGACAGAGGGAGAAGCAAGCTCCATGCAGGGAGCCCGATGTGGGACTCAATCCCAGGACTCCAGGATCACATCCTGAGCCAAAGGCAGATGCTTAACTGCTGAGCCACCCAGGCATCCCTAATACTGCTTTTAAACTGAATTCCCTTCACTTTTAGTTCTCTTCTTAAAAACAGTTTTTAAGGGGATCCCTGGGTGGTGCAGTGGTTTGGCGCCTGCCTTTGGCCCAGGGTGCGATCCTGGAGACCCTGGATCGAATCCCACGTCGGGCTCCCGGTGCATGGAGCCTGCTTCTCCCTCTGCCTGTGTCTCTGCCTCTCTCTCTCTCTCACTGTGTGCCTATCATAAATAAATAAAAAAAATTAAAAAAAAACAGTTTTTAAATACAACAGATATTTTGCTTGATATAAATTGACTTTTCATTTAAGAATCATTTTTATCTGTTAATTCAGCTTTGTTTCCCTATCTAATCACCTACTTGCATCAAATAGCATTAACAAAGTTATCAAAGAACTTCTTGAATGAAATAAAAAAAAGAAGAAAAGTGACCCTCTCAATTAAGATACTTGGTTATACTCTTCAGAAAAATTTAATAAGAATTTACCACCATTTTACCCTCCACTCACCTGAAATGGTTTCAGGAATATTTCCTCCATTGCCAGTCTGCCATACTCAGTGAAAAGCTAGATGGAAAATCACACACATCCACGCACATGCACACACACACATAGAGAAAACATCAGTATCAGCAAAGTTTTACTTCTGTGCTTTTTTCCATTCTTCTTCCTCGCTAAAACATAATACTGTATTAGTAAGGTTACAATAAACATTTTAAGGAACTAGGTATTAGATAAAGCAGAACTACAGTAAATTTTTAAATAAAAAATTAAGGATATAAAGTACATGTTAAAAATTAAGTTTCCACTTCAGGCTAATACCTTTATATCAAGAGTGTAAAAAGTTTTTTGTAGGCAAGACAGGAAAGAAAGTAACATGGAAAGTAACCTTTCAAAGCAGAACTTGCACAGATCAGACCAGAGGGCCATAAACTATGTTGGACATATTTACAAAAGTTGTTGCCTGAGGAAATTTAATGGCACAACGGACTAAATTACTATAAAGGCATAAAGGTATTTGGCTGAAAAATACAATCAGATGTACTGCCTTCTCTTGTTTTTAATTGCTCCCAGTTGAGAGGCACCATATCAGTTTTTGTGTTGCCAGAAATGTAAGGTCTCAGAGAACAAAGACCTGAGGCAGTGACTGTGATTAGGCCTCTGTTGAGCAGTTCATCCAGACCAGCCCACTGGGTTTCCCCAGCTGTACACAGGAAATGCCACTTCATCCACAAGACTGACAAGCCACAGTGGCTTCTCAGAGCCAAGGTGGAACACTGATACAGAGGATTCCCACCCCTTCCTCTTTAGGATAGTTCCCACAGCACCACCCTGCCTCTCTCTCTTGCAGAAGCATCTAGGAAGCCAAGGGTAATTACTAAACATCTGATTAGAGTGACTCAGTGAAAGTCTGGAATATCATGTCTAAAAGGCAGCTGGTCCAGGGATTAACACTCTGATTAGAAACATCTACTAACATAATTGGAATTCACAATCTTTTCTGAGGAGGCTGAGGTGTTGTCATTTACAGGAAAAATTTTAAATGGTCTCAGAAAAAGTTTACTTACTCAATATCAAAGTCCAAAGTCAGCCTTAAGGAATCCCTACACTGGTATTGAACAGTGTTATGCCATTAACTTGGAAAATAATTGGCTAGGTTATGACACAGGCCTGAAGAAGTAAATTGTACTTATAAGAAACAATTATTTAGTTTACTGCCTATCTGTCGTAAATGATCAGGGTGATATACTAGAAATATACTTGGGAACAATTCTCGATATGAACTCCAAATGCTATTTCCAACATTACAGGTTACCTTGCTTTATCATCCTTTGTGGTCTGTTAAATTTGTACATGGCCTTTATTGCCAAGATAGATTATATATTTAAAGCAAAATTTTCTATAAAATACGCAGAGGGAAACTATCAGAGAAATAGATTTTGATATGTAACCAAAATAACATGCATTGAAAGGGAGCAGAAAGTGTTACAGAGATGTAAACTATCTTAAGGAAATATTTAATCTTTTACTTGAGATTTAAATGTTGCTTGGAGAGTGGAAGGAGCCCTGAGCCCAGGAGATGCCCAGATTTCTAGTCCCACTCTACCACCAATTACCCATATTTAGGCAAGTCATTTACTACTTTCAGCCAAATTTACCTCATCTGTAAAAATGAAAGGGAAATTAGGTGTCTACTGAAGTCTCTTTCAGATCTAAAGTAGAATTTTATGAATTATCATCAGGAAGCTCTTCATAGTTTTTTTTAAAGATAGATTTATATATATATATATACATATATATATATATACTTATTTATTTCATGATAGACCTAAAGAGAGAGAAAGAGAGGCAGAGGGAGAAGCAGGCTCCATGCTGGGAGCCTGATGTGGGACTCAATCCCGGGACTCCAGGATCGCGCCCTGGGCCAAAGGCAGGCGCCAAACTGCTGAGCCACCCAGGGATCCCCCAGCTCTTCATAGTTTTTAGGTATAAGTCCATAGGAAAAGAAGTCTGGCATACAACTGATATCAGACTATAATTATTAAATCTCTGACCATAAGCCTTCAATTTCAGGTTTTTTTTCTCTACATTTTTGCTGTAACAATACTCTGAGGACAGCATATAGAACAGAAATGTTTATAAAATGTATTATTAAAGTACAGTTAACATACAATGTTATATTAGTTTCAGGTGTACAACACAGTGATTTGATGATCTTGTACATTATGCTATACTCACCATGATAAGCATAGTCACTGTCACCATACAACATTATTACAATATTAATGACTATATTCCCTATGGTGTACTTTTCACCTCTGTGAGTAACTTATTTTAAAACTAGATCAACTTCTCATTTTGGGTCATTTTTAAACCAAAGATTCTTTTCTCTACTCTAATTTGCATATATTTTCACATATATAGGGCCAATAGCAAGTAGCTTTATAGTAACAAAGAAGTATGAAAACTGAATCAGAAAGAACATAACCATACAGGGCTGAAACAAGAAGCCTGGAAACAGGACAACCTCCATTTGATTATGTTTCTAAATCTTTCTGAATTAAGTGTTCAAGTAGAAGGCCCAACAAAATACACCCTCAAAAGATTACCAAATATGTAAAAAAGAATATACATATTGTTACCTGGAGGTGCTGAAGATCATCCTCCTGGACATTCTGGGATAAGTTATATACCTTGATTAAGAAATAAAGTCAAAATGGTAAAATAAATAGCATCATCCGAAGCACGCACTTTGTCATTATTTTTATAAATATTAATTTTCATAAAATCAAACTCTCTTATATGTATTTTATATAATGGTATTTATAAGATCTTGAAAGAGTAGTAATGAAAGCTTGAAAGACAGTAAGCAATGTACAATGTTCATAAAATTGTTCCAGAAATACAACAGCCACCTGCTCTGGAGATGGATATTAAAATTATTTATGAACCTAACTTAATAGTCAATAAAATAACCATTCTTATAAGCACACCAAAATAATAACAATCTAGATCTGAATAACCCATATGTAAATTTTGTCTTGAAAAACTACATTGACTTTTTCATAACTGACTAATTTAATTAAGGCTAGGGGCACCTGGGTGGCTCAGTGGTTGAACATCTGCTTTTGGCTCAGGTCATGATTCCAGGATCAAGTCCCGCATAGGGCTCCCCACAGGATTGAGTCCCTCTGCCTATGTCTCTTTCTCTCTCTGTGTGTCTCTCATAAATAAATAAATAAATAAATAAATAAATAAATAAATAAATAAATAAATAAATAAAATCTTTAAAAGAATTGTTAAGTCTATAGAAAGTTCTATCACAGTGAAGTTAGGCTCTGAGTATCAGGCTCATATCCATATACACTACTGCTTCATGAACAGATCACAGCACTAAGATAACATTCTTTTCTTTTTTTTTGGGAGGTAATTTCAAAAAAAGTTAAGGATTTTTATGTATTGACACAAAGAGTATACTTTGTGTACTTATTTAAATAACAGACTATTTCTCAGATAATAAAAAGTCATTACTAGGGACTTAAATTTTTCAGTGAAAATATTCAATACCTTCAGGTAAAATATATAAATATTAAAAAGGCAAAATCAATCTTGTCTTAATTGGCTTGCTTATACTGTTGATTATGAAGAAATTAGATTTTAAGTCAGTATTTTATTTTTTTAAGACTGATTGATTGATTGATGATAGACAGAGAGAGAGGGGGGGAGGGGCAGAGACACAGGAGGAGGCAGAAGCAGGCTCCATGCTGGGAGCCCGACATGGGACTTGATTCTGGGACTCCAGGATCGCGCCCTGGGCCAAAGGAAGGCGCCAAACCGCTGAGCCACCCAGGGATCCCCTAAGTCAGTATTTTAAAGGCTCATTCAAGAGGTCTATTTTTAAAAGCTAGTCAAACACAGGTTACAATCATGACTTTCATCTTAAAGCTTTTTTTTAAAAAAAATCCAGTTTTCCTTCTATCCACCCTCTTGTTGTTCTAACCACATGAAACCATTGTTGCTGGTTCACTAGCTTCATTCTCTGCTCACTTATAATTCCAGCCTTGACTTATTTATCCCAACCACTTTGCCTTCCCTACCTTTTTAAACTATCTTACCTCTCTCTAAATGTCCATTTCTTGGCCACTGTTTCTTCTTGCTCTTTCTAATGAACAGAAAATATCTAAAAACTGTCTTAAAATCTTTCATGCTATATGTTCTATGGCTATAGTAAAACTCTGCAATGACTTTGAGGACAATTTGTAAAGCTTACAATAACCTCAAAAACAATACTTTAAAAAGACAAAGAAAAAAGGAAAGGAAGATAACTTTTTTTTTTAAAGATTGTATTTATTTATAGAACACAGGAGCAGGAGGAGGGGCAGAGGAAAGGAAGAAAGAGAATACCAAGTAGACGTCACACTGAACATAGAGCTTGGTGTGGGGCTTGATCCCAGGATCCTAAAATTATGACGTGAGCCCAAATCAAGAGTAAGAGGCTCAAATGACTGAGCCACCTAAGCACCCCAAAGATAAAAAATTTTGTAAGGCATTTCCTTACCTAAATGTATATTAAGTGTTTTATTTATTTATTTATTTATTTATTTATTTATTTATTTATTTATTTATTTATTTATTATTAAGTGTTTTAAAAAGTTGGGAAAGCATCTAAAAAGAAAAAAAGGAGGTGCCTCAGTGGCTCAGTTAGTTAAGCATCTGACTCTTGATTTCAGCTCAGGTCATAATCTCAGAGTCGTGAGATTGAGAGCCTTGCATCAAGCTCTGTGCTGAGCATGAAGCCTGCTTGGGATTCTCTCTCTCCCTCTCCCTCTGTCCATCTCCTCTTCCTCCCCAACTCTCCCACTCATACATGCTCTCTCTCTCTAAAAAAAAGCTGGGAAAGCATATAAATGTTTTTATACTCAGAAATATTTCTACTGGCTGTGTATAAAATCACATTTATAAATCTTGTTGAAACATAAAGGTAAATGTAACTTATAATAGGTAGTTTCATATCTACCTGCATATATTATAAGACAATATTATTGAGTTTATTGTAGTCTTTAAACAGAAAAAATTATCAATAAGATAATACAAAATTTTCTGACTATAGGCAGTTTGAAAACTGATAAGAAATTAGATGACAGTTACCAAAACAATTCTACTCTTATGGAAATCATAAGAACTTGTATGCTAATTGAGGCAAATAACCTATTTATCATTTCTGTTGTTTGTCTTACTACCACATGTATATAGGAATACATATATTCATAAGTTTTAGTTAAAGAAACAACCATCAAAATGGATTTATCTTATTCCATACCTGTATTGAGCTGATCATTGTGCTGAGTGCAAATACTGTGGCTGAATCTCTCAAAGTTGACTGACTATCAAAGGTTCCCTGAGTATCCATCAATAGCACTGCAACCTGTAAGCAAGTAGAGTACATCATTGATATTTTATAAGACAGGTGTAGTGTTAGGGTTACTACAAAGTTAACACTGTAAGGACTAAAGCAAACCATGAACAATGAATACTTAATAGGTAATTTTTTTATATATGCCATGAATGCCACAGAAAATAAAAATATTAATTAGCTCAATACTATAATGATGAATTTTCACTGGTAATCCAATATAATAGGAATAGCATTGAAACAAAGTATAGATGTTAGCTTGCTGATCTGCCCTTCTACTGTCCCAATGATTCTGCCACCTTGATCAATAGAAACAGGAACACACAATAGGATGCTACCCACCCCACTTCCCTTTTAATCTTCATGTCAAATAGCCAAAATTAGTTTTCAAAAGATCATTTTTGAGGACCTTGAAAAGTGGGAGCTCTTGTAAGTGCAAACTCAATTTTCTTTATGAAGTTTGCATTATACCTTCTTGCCGTCAGGTTTATTGATAAGGAAGACTTCACTCCATATTTGGATTCCTGTGGTCTCTCGTTCAGACCCACCTCTCCATGAAAAACCAGTCAATGGTTCATTGTAATCTCCAACCCAGTCGACTGATTCCTATAAATTAAGAAATTTTGTGATATGGAATTGGATATGTGATATAGATTTTTCTACACAGCAATTCTGGTTTGTATCTCTCTCCAACTATAGTCAAAAGGAAACAACATATTCACATATATTGTGTTGATACAACTACTTTATTCATCTAAAATATTATTACAGACAAGCACCATCTGCTATATTATATTGTAGGTCCTGGGAATACAAAGATATCATTCTAGACCAGAGAAGCTCACAACCTAATAAAAAAGACAGACATGCTAATAAACCATCATGTTGCAACATATGCATGCCAAAATGGCCATGTACATTAGGCATAGATAGCACAAGAAAGAAATAACTAACTCTTGGTCAGGAAAGACTTAATAGGAGAGGTGGTATTTGTGCTACAACTTGATGAATGTTTGGGAATTTTCCAGGTGAGCAAACTTGGAGTGGGCATTCTAGAAGCAAAGAAATAAAGACAGGAGAAAGGAAATTATGTCAGGATATACACAATAATAATATACACAAAAGTTTTGGTATTGGAGGGAGTGAATAGCAAGAGGAGAGGCACCTAGTAGTGCACTTCAGAAAAACAAAAACAAAAACACAACAAATTTGTTACACTTAAATCTGGCAAGAAGCAAAGAAATAAAGTCAGGAGAAAGGAAATTATGTCAGGATATACACAATAATAATATACCAAAAGTTTTGGTATTGGAGGGAGTGAATAGCAAGAGGAGAGGCACCTAGTAGTGCACTTCAGAAAAACAAAAACAAAAACACAACAAATCTGTTACACTTAAATCTGGCAAGTAAATCTGATTTACTTAAATTAAATCTATTTTTAATACAAGCAACATGACAAGTGTTATTGAGCATTTAATTTTCATGTTTATTTTACAATTAAAACTATGAATAGCCTAAAACTTATAGTCCCAAAGAATGGAAACTAATACTAATACTAGTTTTGTTCACTTAATTTTCCCACCTGTGTTAAGTAGCATACTCCTGCGGATACACTACAAACAGAGAATGACAAGATTTCTCTTTGGTTTCAAAGCCTAAAGTATTTTGGTAGTGCTATTCCTGATTTGTTTGAACTGAAGCTAGAGATAGAAGATATTAAAGTTAATTTTACAAAACTATTAAAAAAAACCCAACTATAAAAGATCAATCCCAGGGGTGCCCGGTGGCTTCGTCAGTCAGCTGCCTTCAGCTCAGGTCATGATCCTGGGGTCCTGGGATGGAGCCCCAGGTTGGGCTCCCTGTTCGAGGCGAGCCTGGTCCTCCCTTTCCTCCTTGTTATGCTCTCTTGCTATCCCTCTCAAATAAACAAATAAAATATTTTTATAAAAAAGATCAATCCCAAATGAATAATTATGGTATAAAAACATAACACAAAGTTTCTCTGCCTCCACATCCACATTTGCAACAGAACTGCTATGGGTAAAAGGAAGGAAAAAAAATTACTGGTATGCTCTCCATGCCCAATCTTCTGTTCCTCAACTCTGATCTCCCTATACCCTTCTACTTTTGGTTTATCCTAGATCCCTTAAAGTGTCATTTCTGTGCCCCATTGGTGTCAAATGTTATGACACTGCTGGTTGCCTCTGGGGGTGGGCTAAGATGAGAATTGAGTGGGAAAACATAAGAGAGAACTTCCTGGGGTAACAGCAAGATATACTTGATAGATTTGGGCCCATTTGGCATATGCATTTTCAAAAAATATAATAATAAGCAATGTACACCCAAGATTTGTGTATGTAACTGTAATGTAAATTTTATAACAAAAGAAAAAAAACCAAGTACTGAAATACATGATAATGATGTATATTGTAATATTCATGAGGAAGTGTACCAATCTCAGCAATTTACTTTGAAATGAATAAAAAAATAAGATACAATGATGGCTGTAAAGAGGGAAGAACAGCTGGAGACACATGTGATAAAGCAAGAATATCAATGTTAATGGTAAAATCTAGGTAGTTAATACCTAGGTGTTCACTGTAAAATTCTTTTAACTTTGCTGCATGCTTGAAAAATGTCATAATAAAAAAAAAGGAAAATGTCATAATAAATGCCATGGGAAAAATGATTATAATAAAAAAGCTATGACAGAAGTTATTTGACACATTTTAAACATTCTAATGTATAAGATTGATAATCATATCACTATGCCACGTCTCTTTCTAAAAGAATAAACATGTTTTTTTTAAGATTTTATTTTTATTTATTCATGAGAGACACACACACACACAGACAGAGAGAGAGGCAGAGACATAGGCAGAGGGAGAAGTATGCTCCATACAGAAGCCTGATGTGGGACTCGATCCCGGGACTCGGGGATCACGACTTGAGCCAAAGGCAGATGCTCAACCACAGAGCCACCCAGGCAACCCAAGAATAAAAATATGTTATATTTTGCGGGAAATGTGGCAAAGTGACTTCAGATAAAAGTGGCCTATAGAGTTTGGTGTCCTAAACACAGAAAGTCGAATGGTTATACCACATTTTTTTTAATTTTTTTTTTATTTATTTATGATAGTCACAGAGAGAGAGAGAGAGAGAGAGAGAGAGAGAGAGAGAGAGAGAGAGGCAGAGACACAGGTAGAGGGAGAAGCAGGCTCCATACACCGGGAGCCCGACATGGGACTCGATCCCGGGTCTCCAGGATCGCGCCCTGGGCCAAAGGCAGGTGCCAAACCGCTGCTGCGCCACCCAGGGATCCCACATTTTTTTTTTATACCACTGCATTTTTAAACTAGTTCATATTTAGGGTATATAACAAATGTAAGTGGAAATACTGAGCACTACTAAATAAAAACACAAAGTGACAAAAGCACAGAAACAAGAAAACATTTTAAAGCACTTCTTACATACCTGGTTGTACATGTATCTCAACATGAAGTCCATCAGGAATGATTTTCCTTTTCTGAATGCTCCAGCAACAGATACAGCAACAACCTCCTTGTCCCTGACAGCCTCCGAGAGAAGAATCCGATTTAGTGCAGTTTCATCTAACTCAAAGGAATGGTCATCTTTGACAATGAGGACTTGGACTGGTCCTGCCTTTTTCACTGGCTCCTCCTCTTCCGAGCTCCATTCATATGTCTTTTCTGAAAACCCACCTGTTGAATAAAACAGCAATTTATTCAGCTAATCATCTCAAAATACCAAGAAATGTAAAATACCTCTCAATTCTCAAATATCTGAAACAGGCACAGTGGAATTAGAAATGCTCATTTTATTTATTTATTTTTAAATATTTGATTTATTTGTGAAAAATACAGAGGGAGAAGCAGGCTCCCTGCAGGGAACCTAATGTGGGACTTGATCCCAGGGCCCTGGGACCACGACCCAACCCAAAGGAAGACACTCAACCACTGAGCCACCCAGGTGCCCCTGAAATGCTCATTTTAACGACATATTGATGTCATTAAATGTCTCAGGACGATTTATGTCTCAGAAAGACTTCTATCTGGTCTTTCCAATTCTGTGACCAAATCAAACGGAATTTTATTCTCAAGAAAGCTTCAAGTGAGGGCAAAGATCTCTGTTTGCAGAGAGAGAAAGAAAATCAAAGCCGAAGATTCTACTTTTGGAGTACAGGAATAAAATAACTTCAGTTCATAATTTCTTTATCCCCTAGAAATAAGGTTACTTAGTCACATAAAGGATCCTTGCAACAGTTTTTTTTTTAATAAATTAATTTTTTATTGGTGTTCGTTTTACCAACATACAGAATAACACCCAGTGCTCATCCCATCAAGTGTCCCCCTCAGTGCCTGTCACTCACCCCCACCCCCCGCCCTCCTCCCCTTTCACCACCCCTAATTCGTTTCCCAGAGTTAGGAGTTTTTATGTTCTGTCTCCCTTTCTGATATTTCCCACACATTTCTTCTCCCTTCCCTTATATTCCCTTTCACTATTATTTATATTCCCCAAATGAATGAGAACATACACTGTTTGTCCTTCTCCGATTGACTTACTTCACTCAACATAATACCCTCCAGTTCCATCCACGTTGAAGCAAATGGTGGGTATTTGTCGTTTCTAATGGCTGAGTAATATTCCATTGTATACATAAACCACATCTTCTTTATCCATTCATCTTTCGATGGACACCGAGGCTCCTTCCACAGTTTGGCTATTGTGGACATTGCTGCTATAAACATCGGGGTGCAGGTGTCCCGGCGTTTCATTGCATCTGTATCTTTGGGGTAAATCCCCAACAGTGCAATTGCTGGGTCGTAGGGCAGGTCTATTTTTAACTCTTTGAGGAACCTCCACACAGTTTTCCAGAGTGGCTGCACCAGTTCACATTCCCACCAACAGTGTAAGAGTGTTCCCTTTTCTCCGCATCCTCTCCAACATTTGTGGTTTCCTGCCTTGTTAATTTTCCCCATTCTCACTGGTGTGAGGTGGTATCTCACTGTGGCTTTGATTTGTAGTTCCCTGATGGCAAGTGATGCAGAGCATTTTCTCATGTGCATGTTGGCCATGTCTATGTCTTCCTCTGTGAGATTTCTCTTCGTGTCTTTTGCCCATTTCATGATTGGATTGTTTGTTTCTTTGCTGTTGAGTTTAATAAGTTCTTTATAGATTTTGGAAACTAGCCCTTTATCTCATATGTCATTTGCAAATATCTTCTCCCATTCTGTAGGTTGTCTTTGAGTTCTGTTGACTGTATCCTTCGCTGTGCAAAAGCTTCTTATCTTGATGAAGTCCCAATAGTTCATTTTTGCTTTTGTTTCTTTTGCCTTCGTGGATGTATCTTGCAAGAAGTTACTGTGGCCAAGTTCAAAAAGGGCGTTGCCTGTGTTCTCCTCTAGGATTTTGATGGAATCTTGTCTCACATTTAGATCTTTCATCCATTTTGAGTTTATCTTTGTGTATGGTGCAAGAGAGTGGTATAGTTTCATTCTTCTGCATGTGGATGTCCAATTCTCCCAGCACCATTTATTGAAGAGACTGTCTTTCTTCCAGTGGATAGTCTTTCCTCCTTTATCGAATATTAGTTGACCATAAAGTTCACGGTCCACTTCTGGGTTCTCTATTCTGTTCCATTGATCTATGTGTCTGTTTTTGTGCCAGTACCACACTGTCTTGATGACCACAGCTTTGTAGTACAACCTGAAATCTGGCATTGTGATGCCCCCAGATATGGTTTTCTTTTTTAAAATTCCCCTGGCTATTTGGGGTCTTTTCTGATTCCACACAAATCTTAAAATAATTTGTTCTAAGTCTCTGAAGAAAGTCCATGGTATTTTGATAGGGATTGCATTAAACGTGTAAATTGCCCTGGGTAACATTGGCATTTTCACAATATTAATTTTGCCAATCCATGAGCATGGAATATTTTTCCATCTCTTTGTGTCTTCTTCAATTTCTTTCAGAAGTGTTCTATAGTTTTTAGGGTATAGATCCTTTACCTCTTTGGTTAGGTTTATTCCTAGGTATCTTATGCTTTTGGGTGCAATTGTAAATGGGATTGACTCCTTAATTTCTCTTTCTTCAGTCTCATTGTTAGTGTATAGAAATGCCATTGATTTCTGGGCATTGATTTTGTATCCTGCCACGCTACCAAATTGCTGTATGAGTTCTAGCAATCTTGGGGTGGAGGCTTTTGGGTTTTCTATGTAGAGTATCATGTCATCGGCGAAGAGGGAGAGTTTGACTTCTTCTTTGCCAATTTGAATGCCTTTAATGTCTTTTTGTTGTCTTCTTCTTTGCCAATTTGAATGCCTTTAATGTCTGTTCAGTACTATGTTGAATAGCAGTGGTGAGAGTGGACATCCCTGTCTTGTTCCTGATCTTAGGGGAAAGGCTCCCAGTGCTTCCCCATTGAGAATGATATTTGCTGTGGGGTTTTCGTAGATGGCTTTTAAGATGTCGAGGAAAGTTCCCTCTATCCCTACACTCTGAAGAGTTTTGATCAGGAATGGATGCTGTATTTTGTCAAATGCTTTCTCTGCATCTAATGAGAGGATCATGTGGTTCTTGGTTTCTCTTGCTGATATGATGAATCACATTGAGTGTTTTACGAGTGTTGAACCAGCCTTGTGTCCCGGGGATAAATCCTACTTGGTCATGGTGAATAATTTTCTTAATGTGTTGTTGGATCCTATTGGCTAGTATCTTGTTGAGAATTTTTGCATCCATGTTCATCAGGGATATTAGTCTGTAATTCTCCTTTTTGGTGGGGTCTTTGTCTGGTTTTGGAATTAAGGTGATGCTGGCCTCATAGAATGAATTTGGAAGTACTCCATCTCTTTCTATCTTTCCAAACAGCTTTAGTAGAATAGGCATGATTTCTTCTTTAAAAGTTTGATAGGATTCCCCAGGGAAGCCATCTGGCCCTGGACTCTTGTGTCTTGGGAGGTTTTTGATGACTGCTTCAATTTCCTCCCTGGTTATTGGCCTGTTCAGGTTGTCTATTTCTTCCTGTTCCAGTTTTGGTAGTTTGTGGCTTTCCAGGAATGCGTCCATTTCTTCTAGATTGCCTAATTTATTGGCGTAGAGCTGATCATAATATGTTTTTAAAATCGTTTGTATTTCCTTGGTGTTGGTAGTGATCTCTCCTTTCTCATTCATGATTTTATTAATTTGAGTCTTCTGTCTATTCTTTTTAATAAGGTGGCTAATAGTTTATCTATCTTATTAATTCTTTCAAAGAACCAACTCCTGGTTCTGTTGATCTGTTCCACAGTTCTTCTGGTCTCAATTTCGTTGAGTTCTGCTCGAATTTTAATTAACTCTCTTCTTCTGCTGGGCGTAGGGTCCATTTCCTGTTTTTTCTCTAGCTCCTTTATGTGTAAGGTTAGCTTTTGTATTTGAGTTCTTTCCAGTTTTTGAATGGATGCTTGTATTGCAATGTATTTCCCCCTCAGGACTGCTTTTGCTGCATCCCAAAGGTTTTGAACGGTTGTATCTTCATTCTCATTAGTTTCTATGAATCTTTTCAATTCTTCCTTAATTTCCTGGTTGACCCTTTCATCTTTTAGCAGGATGGTCCTTAACCTCCACGTGTTTGAGGTCCTTCCAAACTTCTTGTTGTGATTTAGTTCTAATTTCAAGGCGTTATGGTCTGAGAATATGCAGGGGACGATTCCAATCTTTTGGTATCGGTTCAGACCCGATTTGTGACCCAGTATGTGGTCTATTCTGGAGAAGGTTCCATGTGCACTTGAGAAGAATGTGTATTCAGTTGAGTTTGGATGTAAAGTTCTGTAGATATCTGTGAAATCTATCTGGTCCAGTGTATCATTTAAAGCTCTCGTTTCTTTGGAGATGTTGCTTGCAACAGTTTTTAAAGCTGAACATACACAGGAGGAAATACATACAGGAACTCAGAATCACATATTTCTGAAACCGGAATAAATTTTTACAACACCTAGTTCAGCTCCCTTCAATACACGCATGCCATCTACAAAATCCTAGATTCTTAAATGTCTCATTTTAAATTATGCCTCATAGCAATGGAATCTACAGATAATTAAATTGGGTAGGCCAGGTTACAGGCCACCTTCAAATCCATAGCAAAGAGGTCTAGACATAATTCATTTAAAAAAAAGGACACTTTTGAAAGTTATTTTGTGTGAAGATCTTATATAAAAGCTACGTGACCCTGGAAAATTACTAAACCCCTCAGTTCTTCATCTGTAAAATGTAAACTATTAATAGTACCTATTAATAGGGTTGTTGGAAAGATTAAGGGAGCCACTATAGAGTGGCTATAGAGTCACTGTAGAGTGCTGAGATCAGTGCTTGGCACACAGTTAACTCATAAAGGTTAGCTATTCATCACCGCCATTACCATCACAGACCAAACTAAGTATTCCTATAAGAAGTTTCTGCTGATTTTTCCAGAAATCTGTGTGTGTACATGTTTTCAGAGTTATTATATATCTGATAAAGGGTTAATATCCAAAATACATAAAGAACTGATACAACTAAACAGCAAAAAATCCAAACAATCCAATTAAAAAGTGGATAGAGGATATGAGAAGACCTTTTTATAACAGAAGACATGCAAATGGCCAACAGACACATGAAAAGATGCTCAATATCATTAATCATCAAAAGAAATGCAAATCAAAACCAAACAGATATCACCTCACACCTTTTA